ATTTAATTATTAATTTCCACGTTGGCATGAGTTTGTTTTTTACAGTGTAAAACGGCTTTGCTTGGTGTTCAGGATACAGTTTGAGGAGCTGCAGACCTCAATTCTGTTAGAAATCTGTTCATCTTGGCTATAAGTGCGTTTTTTTTTTTAGAACCCGCCGTGGTTCTGTGGTTCTGTGCCGCTGCGCGCAGAGGAGAGGTCCGGTTCTGTGGTTCTGCTCGCCGCCGCGCGCAGCAGGTTCGGTTCTGCTGAAGAGAGCTGCGCTGACAGCTCTGAGAGCAGCAACCGTGTTGTCTCGCTTGAGAAGCGAGTAATTGCATGCATGTGCTCACATCTGTGTGATGAATGAGTGAAATAGGGTCCCTTAAAATCCAGTGTGTTCGTACCGTTGAGGTTTTAGAGCTATAAATCTGGTCTGGTTTCATGCGTAAAATACGCGTCAGAGTAGCCAGTAAACTCCATGACAAAGAACTTTGAGGTCGCGACTCAAGATTTGTCGACACGGTTTATTGTATATAATAAGCATAACGTGTAGGGAGTTATCAGCGCTGTTTGAGGCTAAGAAACTTAATTGTTTGTGCCGAGGCGTGTTCAGACAGACAGTCTGATCCACACGGAGCTGTGTGGAATAGCACTGCTAGTGCTAACAGGGAGCTAGCTGTTTACTCAGCGTAAGTCTGCCGCGAGCAGGAAAGACTTGCCCTGTTTCCGTGAGAGGGTCACGGACTTTAGCTTATAAATCGTGCCTTGTGAGGTTACGTGGAGCTAATAAGTTACGCTGCTGAGCGTAGAGACGGAGGCTTTGCTCCGTGTTGGTGAAGCTGCTGTACTGTGCGTCAGGGCAGCCACCATTTTGGATCCGACGCATTGCGTCAACGACGTAGCGTCATTACGTCACGACGTAATTACGTCGCTGAGCGTGATTTTCCCCGAGGGAGGGGTGAAACATCACGGGTTCTTTCCAAAGCTGTGATCGAGTCGGCATCTGCTGGTTGTTTGCCGTAATTACACTCAAAAAAGCTGAAATTGTTTTTATTTCCTTAAAAAACGGAGAATTAGCTCAAAATTAGGCAAAAATTAG